CGTCTCTGAGGTCCGTGCTTTTAGCCGCGGCTCGCGCCCGTTTCTGGAGTTCCTTTAAGCAGCGCTCTTAAAACCCCTCTCCTCGCGCACCAGGGAACAAAGAAGGAAGAAAAAGTCTCTTGCCTCCTCAGCAGGTGCAGACTTCCCCGGACTCCCTCCTGGCTAGTCGTGGCGCACTAACCCCTTCGGGCTATGTTCAAGCCACCAACCCTGAGCTCCGACCAAAACCTGAGCCTCGGCTCGCAGCCCCGCCCGCCCCGGCGGGCGAGCACACAAGCCTCTCGGGCTGGTGAGTGCCGGTCGGCACCGATCCTCTGTGCGGGAATCTCTCCGCTCTGCCCTCCGCACCCCCGTTGCTGCGCTCTCCTCTGCGGCTCCGAAGCTCCCCGCTCCGCCTCCCGCAATCTCTGCCTGCGAAGGGGCTTCCTAGTGTATGGAAACCTTTCCTCCTTCACAGCTCCCTCCCAGTGGTGTAGGTCCCATCCCTATCCTTTTGTGTCTGTTTATTTTTTCTTTTGCCCTACCCATGTACGTGGGGAATTTCTTGCCTTTTGGGAGGTCTGAGGTCTTCTGCCAACGTTCAGTATGTGTTCTGTAGGAGTTGTTCCACGTGTAGATCTATTTCTGGTGTATCTGTGGGGAGGAAGGTGATCTCCGCATGTTACTCTTCCGCCATCTTCCACTCGTCCTCTCTTGTATATTTTATTTCCAAGATTTTGGATCATCTTTACTATCATTATTCTGAATTCTTTTTCAGGTAGACTGCCTATTTCCTCTTCATTTGTTTGGTCTGGTGGATTTTTACCTTGCTCCTTCATCTGCTGTGTATTTCTCTGTCTTCTCATTTTGCCCAACTTACTGTGTTTGGGGTCTCGTTTTCACAGGCTACAGGTTCATAGTTCCCGTTGTTTTTGGTGTCTGCCCCCAGTGGGTGTGGTTGGTTCAGTGGGCTGTGTAGGCTTCCTGGTGGAGGGGACTGGTGCCTGTGTTCTGGTGGATGAGGCTGGGTATTGTCTTTCAGGTGGGCAGGGCCACGTCTGGTGGTGTGTTTTGGGATGTCTGTGAAGTTATTATGATTTTGGGCAGCTTCTCTGCTAATGGCTGGTGTTGTGTTCCTGTCTTGCTAGTTGTTTGGCATGGGGCGTCCAGCACTGGAGCTTGCTGGCTGTTGGGTGGAGCTGGGTCTTAGCGTTGAGATGGAGATCTCTGGGAGAGCTTTCACTGATTGATATTACGTTGGGCCGGGAGGTCTCTAGTTGTCCAATGTCCTGAACTCAGCTCTCCCACTCAGAGCCTCAGGCCTGACGCCATGGAGCCACATGGAATTATTTAGATAGTGGTCCTTGGCAAGCGAAACCACAAGATAGGAGGTTTGTGCTATACCTGGTCCTGCTGAGCAATTTTCAGACTTTAGCTCATTTTGGTGACAGGGCGACTGGTTCAGTGATGTGAGGCAGGTTGGGTCCATGAGACAGGTGGTACTCAGCCGGTGCACGGCCTGAGGGGCCCAGTCAAAGCCCTCAGGGAAGGCCAACAGTGACCAGGACCCCCACCTCCTGCTGCTGCGGCCTCTTTGGGATCTCCCTCCTGGTGTCAAGTATCTCTCATTCC